AAATATACTTTAAACAGGGACTTTTCAGATTGTTGTCATTCTATTGAAGATTGAAATCATTCTGACAAAAATGAAAATAATATTTTTCAAATGAATGTTCCTTACTGTGACCGTGCTGCAATATATCCGCGCCCCCCACTTTGGGAACGCTGTCTAGTTTTGGGGGAAATATTAACTCACAGAACGGCGAATCCCTTGTACTACAGTATATGCAAATATTTCAAATATAGATATAAAATATTCTGGACAAAACATTTTTATAAACGCTGAGGTTTAGTTTGAACTTGTAGGTTTTCTATCTGAGTGGAAAAAACAAAGTTTTATTAAAAAATTAAAAATATCAACCCTTCTGAAAAAAACTGCATTATTTTTCAGTTATATATACATTATTATGAAACTTAAATAAAAATATATACAGTAAATACTTAGTATGTGCTGCAGGTTTCCTGAATAAATCTAATATATTCAAAAATATTTAGTTAAAATATATTTAGTTGCATAAAAACAATGGAAAATAATTTGAGTGAGTGTAAAAATGTTATTAATTTTTTTGTTGTAAAGTGAATATGTTAATGAAGTGTAAAGCCAGACATTTGGCACCGACTTCTCCCTTTAATTGAATATGCAAATATAAACAACAAGTATGGAGAAAGGCGACTGAAGGCTTTGACTGTTCGTCTTTGTCACCACACATCAATCACAGCAGCCGCAGACACATTATATCATTTCTAATTACATTTCCCTCAGCTGCTGTTTTGACCTGCAGTGAATGCATTCACTCTTATTAATAAGATTCAACTATGCAAATGTGGAGGTTTTTAAAGAGAGAGAGTGAAAATCAGAAGTCACTTTTGTGCCTTTACCCAGAATGCAGCAGTCAAAGTAGGAGTTGGTTCGAGAAAGCTGGAGCGTCCAGTTATTCAGTTATAGTTATGTTTTTGTTTTTGTTGTTTATCGTTAAAATACATTCAAAATACAATTACTACAACTGTCTACTGCAGTATTTTAATGGTTGACATACAGGTGGTACCTGAAGAGACAAATATTTTCAGGCGTGCTACACATTCTAAAAAGTGTGAGAACTGCTGTCTTTCACTGTAGTGCATGACTTTGTCTCACCGCCAGAGAATCTACCAACTCATTAAGTGCCAGTTTAAAAAATATCGTAAATATTTTAAAATCAGAATTTTATTTTTTTGGAAATACTTTAAACGTATTTAAATCGAAACAGGGTCTGACTCTGGCTCAAATATATATTTGTGGACAACAGTTTGTTGTCTGCTGTCCTATCAGTTTACTATACCTGACAGAATGGCATACGCTACACTCAGAAGAAAAACCCCAGTGTTTGTACCAGTCAGAATCAGCATATTTACCCTTAACCTTTACTCTGGTGACGTGAACCTTTCTACAGTGACTTATTATCATTTAAAGGTAAAGGCGCAGAAATTGGGCTGTTAAACATGTGTTAAGAATCCAGCTGTGCTTAATCCTTCAATTATTTTGACCAAAATATGTCACTAATATTTAATCAACATATCAAAGAGCCATAATAATTTGCATGAAAACGGCATAAATAAATAGATATGAATTTGAATAGCATTGTCTCTTCTGTTCTGCGGTTCTCAGAACTTTTGCTCAGATGTCTTTGTGCTACTTCAGGCTCAGCCTCGCACTCCAGGGAAAAAAACCATTCATCTTTATTCTGTATATGTCATTACAGTCACCATTATTCTGTATTCTTCAGGACAGTGAAGGGGTCGTAACAAGTGTGTGACAACACCCCCCCCCCCCACCCCCATCAACACTAACAGCTCCCTAACCTTTCTCTCCTGGCCGTCCTTGATGTCTTTGTTCATTTCATTAATTAGCTCACTCTTTTCTCTGCAAACCCACTGACAAACGGCCCGAGCCTCCACCGTCCTCAGCATCATAGCCTTGATTAAATGGGCGGACATTTTTCTGTGTGTGACAAACGGCTGTTGGACCAGGCTGATTCACAACTTGTGATGAGTTATTCATCCCCGGCCTGCAGCACGACTGCTCTGGTCTGTCCGTCTGTCTGTCATTTATTTGGTTTTTTTGAGTTTCCTCTGGTGTTTAGTGTGGACATTCTCATGCATTCTCATTCTCTTTGTCCGTTTATTTTAAATGTTTATTTTAGGAAAGGAGAACATTCTTTTAGGAAAAAAACCCTCAACACATTTCAAATATTTTTCACAAACATAGAGCTCATCCCATGAATGTCAATTTTTTTTGTCACTATTGGTAAATCAAACACATATTTAGGGCTCATATATATTAATTTAAATATCCCTTTTCAGTTTTTTTTGTAAATAGAAAAAACAATTATTTATTAATTATATTATATTTATTTAAACAGTATATTTGCGTTGTCAAACTTTTCAGTATTTCAATGCTAAGACATTCCATTACAGCACGTTACACTAATATGCAATGATTGATCTAACTTGTAGTTACATATTTTAATAAATAAAAAATACATTAATATTTAAATAAAGTGCCATTTAATATTAAAAATAATAATTTTACGTTTATTATCACAAGTACATTGTTTATGGGTATGATAAATTTAAGTATATACACATAAATATATGTATAATTATATTTATATACATATGTATAAATGTGTGTGTGTGTGTGTGTGTGTGTGTGTTGAGTGATAAAATGTGAAGACTGATGTCTTAGTAACTGCAGCCTAAGTCAAAAGCCACTCGTCTGGTCCAGTTCAGTGTTCTTCAGCTGGAGCAGCTGCTTTGTCCATTTTCACCTGGTGATTCTTGTCACATTGTGTTTGTTCATTCTCCCACACACTCCGTCTACAGGACAGGACAATCCTTCACTCACACACTGAACCAATATAAGCTCAGCCCTGAAATCACAGAGCTCTGGGTTTGGATCTCGTGTGACCATTACACAATCTGGAACCTGTTACAGCGCCCCGAGCCCAGGTTTGATGCCCCATCTGCAAAAGTCAGATCAGCCTTTCACGGGTCCACATGGAACGCTCTGATAGCATCAACCCTGGCCCGGCCGACAGGGAAGTGAAGTTTCACATTCTTTCTTCAACATATTATGTGATTTATTTTTCTTCTTCTTCCTCCAGTCATTTTCAGTGTATATTTCTATTCTAAAACCCAGCAATGTAGAAATAACACACTGTTATCGTGGGTTTTTGTGTGTGATTCAAACTTAAGACTAACTCCTAAATATGAACAGAAGTTCCCCGGCATCGAACATCGGAGCAGGTACTGCGGCTCCTGTCGTTTCTGTGAAGCATTTAAAAAGCTGTTGTAAAAAGCCTGAGGTGTGAAGTTTCGCTCCTTTGGTGTCGTAACAGCTGCTGAATTTGAATTTCCAGCTTGTAATTTGGTCTGGAGTGAACCAGGTGTGACGCCCGCGGTCAGTCTGCAGCTAATGACCAGTTCAAAACGGCAACCTTTAGGTTATTTGGTTGATGCACTGCTTCGTTTTAATGCAGGGTCACTGTGGCAGCGAATAACAGTTAGACTCCGCCCACTGGTGGCAGAGAACCAGCACTGCATCTCTGCAGAGACTTCATTTGGCTTCAAGAATCCAAATCCATTTGCCAACACGAAGCTCTGAACCTGGACGACCTGGACTTCGGTCATTTGGATGACCCCCTGCGTACGATGCCCCCTGCTGCTGATGTATAATCACAGCACTATATCAAATTTCCAAATTACAGTTGTGCGTTGCATGATTCATTGTAAATAGCGCTGTTAGAAAATAACCCGTGATGGAAGGTAAACAGTGGAAACGTTGGCTCAACGTGGAGCTGCTCGAGACCAGCGCTGCTGGTGGTTTTATGCGTCATTACTAGTAAAATAAGTAAAAAAAAAAGTTCACTTCAGTTCCCAGATGCACATTTTTCTGCCTGTTTGTTTTAGTCCACAACAGCTGCAACGCTCGACCACAGTCAAATCAATCACATCATATTTACACGCACTGTCCCGGTAAACAGGGTTCAACACACATTTCATAGTAGTAACAGTCAAAGGAAGAATAAATATATATGATAATATAACTTAAAGAAAGAAATGACTCTATAAGTTCATATATGACGCTAGCTGGATGTGTTCAAAACAAGCATAGAATGTTTTTGGTCATGACCCAGAAATGAGTCATTTCTTCCAAGAGTCTCATCTCTGTCAAGCAAAAATTCTCATCACCCCATTAGTTGAGTTTATCATTACTATATAAAAAAAAGTTTAATATATTTTGCAAAAATTCTCATCACCCCATTAGTTGTTTATCATTACTATATAAAAAAAGTTTAATATATTTCGTCAATTTCTAAACGCACCAACACCCTGCTAATAGATTTACACACATACATATGTATAAACACAGATGGATGAAAATTGGCAAATTATTTGTTAACATTTGGGTTTTTAAAAAAGATGAAGGCAATCCATTAATTTGCTTAATCATAGTTCACATGGTCTTTTTTTAACAATTATTTTCCTCTTTTTCTCTCTCTCTCTCTCTTGAAGTGCTCTGGCGCCCTCTAGGAGAACAATGCCTTAAACTTTGAGTAAGTACTCCATCACATCTGTTTCGCCCCAGACAAGATACTTTTCCTGCCTAGACGTTAGTTTCATGTTGATAATACTGTAGTAATATTAAGGAGAAGTGTATCGTCAAGAAAAACATTTGGAATTAAGTATGAAAACATCCTAACAACTCCCTTGGTGACCCCTGAAGAAGAAACTAGAGCAGAAATCGATTCTCCTGTCAGTCAGTATGTGTTTGCATAGCAGGCTAAGATTCCATGATGAAGAATATGTTTAATGGTATACGTGTAAGGAGACACTCTATAGGTCTGACATTATCCGTCTGTTTCTCTGTCAGGGAACGACCCCCTCCACACAGTTTTCCACAAATCAATCGGAATGTTTGTTTGTTTGTAGCGCCATCGACCAGGCTAATTATCTATGGCCGTTAAAACATAGCATTACTTCAGCAGAAGAGAAAATGGCGGCACCATAAACCTGTTTAATGGAGAAAAGTTTACGACAGACTAGGTTGAGTTTTATTTCTGCTCATTTTTGTGCGGATATTAAATGAAACTAAAATGTAAATTAAAGTTAAAATGAACAGGTGAAAAAAAAGCTTTTAAACTATATTTTAAACATCAACTTGAATCAAGCAGCGTGAAATGACAAGGTCACTGCCTGTGACGTCATCACATTTAACACCACACGGGGTCTCCAGTGTAGATGAAAATGCCGCCGGACCCTGGACTCTGCTCACGCGCTGCTTCCAATGTTTTGTTTTGTTTCGCTTTTTAAAATTTTGTATTTTATTCATTTAATTAACGATGAAAGCGGACACGGAAAACCAAGTCAGGTTGAATCCGAGGAAGAGAAACGCCGCCAGTGGGTAAGTACTGACTGACTGCGTTTTACTGCGCTGGAAATGACAATTATAATCAATATGTTAGTTGTTCTTTTTTGTGTTATTTATCACCAGTATTTCCATTAAGTTGATGCTGAGTCTCAAACTGTATTTACCTGTGTTTATGTGTGTGAAAGCGGGAAATGTAACTACATAAGTAAATATTTAAAAAGTAATTGTGTGAAGCAGGTTTAAAGATATAACGTAGAAGGTTTTTTTTTCGTTCTACTGTACTTTCTAATGAGCCACATGTTAAATTTTGTTCACAATTTCCCAGAAATAAAAGTTAAAATAGTTTTTTCTGCAAATGGTATTATTCATGTAGCATCGTAACATCGTCGTTAGACCTGTTTTAAGTTTTCGTGAAACTATAGTGACAATTCAGGGGGAAGAATTGGTGCAAACAGATTAATTTTAATAATTATAATAATTTTTAAAATTCACAATAACCAATTTAGATTTAGATTTTCGACACCAAATTGTTTTGGGGGTTTAAGGTAAAGTTTTAATTTTGTGCAGGCAGATATCCTAAAATGCGTTATTAATGCTGTATACTACTAACAATATATTTAGTTTATAGCAAATGTTATTGTTACATAATGATGCCAACAAATCAATAACTCTGTTAATCCTAGAGTCTCACATTAACCATATATGCTAATGTGAATTTGGTCATTTTCATCTGTCATTACAAGCTGTCACATTAACGACATTTAAAATATACTGTAAAGTTATTAAACACATAGGAAAACACTCATATGATGCTAAAACAAGAGTCAGCACAAACACCCGCTCTCTGTCCTTGTTTGTGTCCTCCACTGATCAATAGCATTGAGTTCGTGCTCCATGTTTGTGTTGTGGTCATTGGTGACGTTGATTTTCTCTCACACTCTTTTCCCACAATGTCAGGAAAATCTCCAGTTATCAAAGTGATGATACACACAAATATTTCTTATTTAAAATATTATTAATAAAACCTTTTTTTTTAAATCAATATATTTCTTTCAAAATGTAGGGTCAGTAAATTGAAAAGAGACGGACAGACCCAAATGAAGGAAGTGGTTTTGGATTTCAGAGCCGTTTTTAATGACATGAGATCACTGCAGACATAATCTTTAAATATGGTGGGATAATCTGGATGGATCAGGGTCAGGCAAGGTACGGCAGAGAAGAACTTAGGATAAGATCAGTGGTCAGAGCAGGTCAAGTTTAGACAATTATAAAGTTGTTTTTTTATTTAAACAGTGTTTTTTTTTTACTAATGTGGCTGAATATTAAAAATATTCATTCAGTGTGATAATATTGTTCAGGATATAGTGAAGGTCAGTTTAGTGCAAGTTTTCATACCAGTCGTTTTAATATCATTAAATGTTGGATTATCATTGTTTCTATTTTTAGAGACAAAGGTGCAAAAATGCAGATTAAAACCTTTGGCTGGAAGAGTTCAGAGATTAGAAAGTGTAACCAGTGCCCGGGGCACCTGGTCCTCCACAGAGACCACGTGACTTGCCCCCTGGTCATGTTCTGATAATGCACCTGTCATCATGGGTCTTTATCAAAAAAACTTGATGGTGTTGCTGTTCTAGCAGATTGTTATTGATTGATATTGTCCAAACATTTAATTTCTGATTCCGATATCAACTGATACAATGAAGGCTGGGTTATATTTATTTATTTATCTATACAACCCACTCTATGATTATTAGATTAATTATATGAGTTGCAATGCTGCCATCTAGTGACTTTCACTTTAATATACAGCCGTTTATCCCTCAAAACTATTTTTAGGGCACATGTCATTTGGTGAAACCCAGGCATTGCGTTATTAAGTTTTCATTATCGGAGGTTAAAAAACAGATATTACATAACATGCTAATATTGGGCCGATAATATCGGTTACTCACCAGGTCTTTGACCTGGTAAACTGCTAACATCTGACCTGTAATGACATCTTCTGTGGGTCTGTGGGCCATCAAACACTGAATCTTCAAATACAATTGGATTGGTCTTTATGCTGTATATATATATATATATATATATATATATATATATACACACAAACACATATATATATAGGCAGACTGTGGAGCAGATGTTGCTCTGAGAGACGTGTGAACCAGCAACTTCACACCGACAGTTTTCCCACACACTCCTTTGTCAACGTTCTTATTGCTGGAGTCATTTGAGATATTTTCCACTTCACCATGATAAGGTTGGCCAACAAATGGACTCTCACATCCTTATACATAGGCGCACACAGACACAGACACACACACACACACTCTTCCCTCAGCACGTTCTTTAGCTGTCGTCGCCTGTTGTCCACTGACGCCTCAGCCTAATCACTGAGATAGCAGAGCTGGGAGTCCATTTATTTGCTGGTGTTTAGTTCATACCTGAGTGGAGACATCAAGGTCGGCACAGTCACCTCTGACATTCGATCAGTAACTGAATATCACAGAACAGGGCTGCGGGGTTGTTTTTTGCCTGCTCATAGGATTTTTGTCTCATTCTTTTTCTGACCATCTGTTCTTTGGTTTGACCCTCTTTTTGCCCATGATTTTTCAGACGACTGGAAATCATTTTGGCCACAAATGCTGTTATGACTCATGACGTCCAGTGGAAACTGTCTGGACAGTGAGGTGAGGTGTTTAATTGTCTGTTCATAGATATAGAAAATAATTCTCTATAAACAAACACACACATTTGTATTCATTATTATTTATTATTTGAATGAATAATTTCCAGAAATATTTAGAAGAATTCACAAAAGATATAAACTTATATATTCACAAAAGATACTTTTACTTTTTTGTTTTGACAAATCTGCCTGTAAAACAGTTTTATTCTCCACCTGTTTCTGTGATGATGATGTTCGTCAACCACCGTAACAGCAGCGTCTCATAATTCAAATCCACTGTGGATTAGCAAAACTGTCGGTGAGATTACTAGTATAACAGACGCAGATATAATCCACAGCATATCGACATCTCCACACTGAGACATCACTGTCTGTCCACCCCCCCATCCCACGCACCATCCACCCCGGTCAACTCCGAGTCCTTGCTTATCCCCTCGGAAGTACTGTCAGCTTACCCTCAATTCTCGACTTGTGCAGTGGTCCAGTCAACGTGGGCCGCAGCCCTCGTTTTGGTTGTGTTATTTACACATGGATTCGAGGATCGGCTCTTGTTGTCATAGAGTGACAAAAATAGTTTTTTTTCTTTACTTTCTAGGCTCTAAATGTGTGCAGGTACAAATGCAAAGTGAACCTTTAGACTAGAGGGCGCTCTTGTATGAGGAAGCTTGCCTGAAGACAGCGACAGAGGAGACGCATCACAAACAGTATGTTTCTGTTTTTCTCTTTATCTCATCGTCCACATCGTTCACATCATAAACCTGTTGATGTTGCACAGATACAAGGAGAAAACGACAAGGGTGGAGGTTGTGATCTGGATTTTTTTTTAACTATATTTAACTAACTTCTTGATGCAGCCATTGTTGACTTGTGTCAAAGAGCAGACACTCTGTTTGACTGTTTGCTCCTTTCCTCCTCAGCTTCTCTTCTTTCCTGGCATACACTTCAAACACAAGCGTCGGAGCTGAAGAAATGTCCAGACTTCCTCAGGTGATCTGTGTGCTTTCCTTTTCTTACTGTGAAATATGACTGTAGTCTCAGATCTGTGGCAGAGATGAGAGTAATGTCAAAGAAAGTCATCTCTCGCCGTAGAGAGTCATGTCTGACAAAAGGAATCATACAGTTAAGACAGAAACGTCACGAGCTACGCTGAATGAAACACGGTGAATAAACATCCTGTTGTTAAAGCCAAAGCACAGGAGAATAAAACAGAACTGTGTCATGTTCTGTAGCCAAGTTATATATTGGTACAAATGTATAATCAATGGCTGCCAGTGGTTAATTATCTAATAATCATGTGGTCTTTGTTCATGTGTCCTATTCCAAGGGATTTTGAGAAATGGACGGATTGTAACTGTAAGAATTGGCATGTTTCTTTCTTTTTTCCTTTGTTAGTCTTCAGGCTGTGACTCCACCTCACCATCCTGTTGTTTATAGCTGACTGTTCTGTAGGTCTGACTCCCATCTTCCTGACAGTATTATATAAAAAAATGCACACGAAAACCCCTGAAATGTTCCTGTAGTTGAACTGCCTCAGTGTGTTAGTTCATGTCTTTAAATTGACCTCCGTAGTCGATCTGTCCTGCATGTGTTTGTGTCGCCCTCTGTTACCACTTCAACCCACAGCTTGCATATTAGGAGAAAAAAACATTTCTTTTGCTTCTGCTGATGTGTTTTGTTTTCAACTTTACCTTTGTTGTTGACTGCATCTGTGGATTTAACTTTGACACTGACGATTTCTATGAAAAAGACAAAATGACAGCAGCCAAAATGGACACCTGAACAATGTCAACGCTGAAGGACTCGTCCTCTGGGTCATCACTCTGTCTGTCTGTCCAAGGACCGTTAGTGTTGTCATACTGAACTGCACCTGGTGACTGCAGACAGTGTTGTCATACTGAACTGCACCTGGTAACACCTTGACTGCAGACTTTTAACTTCATAAAACATGATGGGTGCAGCGCGTGTCAAACGCCGCTTCAGTGCTGTGGTGGATGGGCCAGTGGAGGAGGAGGAGGTCATGAGGCTGGCACACAGTGCCTCAGATACGGAGAGAGCAGGGGAGAGCTCCTCAGGGTCAGGGACTCCCATCGGCCCTTCCCCGACCCACGCGCCCAACGGCAAAGCTCTACCTCTTCAGAGCATCGTCAACAATGCACGGAGGCAGAGCACCATCGGAGAGTCAGTCGGGAAAGATGCAGGAGGAGAAGGCGAGGTGAGAGGAGGCGAGAAGTTCTCGGAGCACAGGAGTAGAAGAAGCACTGGTGAAGGAGAAAGAGGGGAAGTCCGTGCGTCCTTTGACAAAGGTTCCTTCTCTGTCCCCATCACTACCAAACGTCGGCACACCCGCCGCTCAAGCCGCCGGCCCCGACAACGCTTTGTAGGCAAGGACGGACGCTGCAACGTCACCTTCGTCAACATGAGCGAGAGGGGCCAGCGTTACCTCAGTGACCTCTTCACCACCTGTGTGGACATTCGTTGGCGGTGGATGCTCGTCATCTTCACCCTCTCCTTCCTTCTCTCTTGGCTGCTCTTCGGATTTGCCTTTTGGCTCATTGCCTCCATGCATGGGGACCTCTCTATTAAGCTAACCCTGAGCTCAGCGTCCTCGCTCGCTCCAGGAGATGCCGGCTCTGGACCCGAGTCTAATAGAGAACCAGGGGTTGAGGAGCCCTGCTTTCTCCAAGTGAATAGCTTCATGGCGGCCTTCCTCTTATCCTTAGAGACGCAGACGTCTATTGGTTACGGATTTAGAAGTGTGACTGAAGAATGTCCCCAGGCGGTGGTGGCAGTCGTTTTGCAGTGCATTGTGGGCTGCATTATTGATGCCTTCATCATCGGGGCGGTCATGGCTAAGATCGCCAAGCCTAAGAAACGCAATGAAACGCTAGTGTTCTCTGAAACGGCGGTGGTGGCACTAAGAGACGGGAAGCTGTGCATGATGTGGAGGGTTGGGAATCTCCGCAAAAGCCACCTAGTGGAGGCCCACGTCAGAGCACAGCTACTGAGGGTAAGTGAATGGAAGTCAAAACTTACTGTAATTTAAATATTCAGGAAAAAAAGAATTATTGAAGACATAACTGAAAGATTACTACTGCAGGATGGCTGCTTCAGAGAGGGAGCGTCGAGGCCATCTGGCTGTTTGGTGAACTGAAGTTAATGAGAGCTCGTTTTATATTTCCTCAGAGGTTATGAAGATTTATCATGGATTAACTCGACCTTAATGCTTTAACTGAGAACTCTTGTTCATTGTCGTCTCATTTCTCCTGCTTGATTCTGATGAATGTGTTCCACTGACTTCATAGATGCATCAAACTCATTTGTATTGATGTGTGTGTGAAACTCAGAAGCTGTACGCCTGCAAAAATTGAGTGTCTCCTAATATCATGACCAAATCAGTGGCTGTGGGGATTAAGTCTGCAGGGATCAAAGAAATATAATTCTAAATGTCAGGAGAGGATATTGTTAAAGTAGAAGGGTTGGGTGAGTGATGTGTCTGGGTGGTGGTGGAGCCACCAGTCAAGATATTAAATTTAGCCGAATAAAAAAAAAATTAAGCTTTTGAGTAGAAAGAAAAAGTAAGCCACACAGTATATTGGATATTATATATTGTGCTGCATTCACTTTCTTCTGTTTCGCTCCCAACCTCAACTCTTCTGATGTTTTTATGTTCTAGATTATGATGTAAGCACTGTGTTAGCGTAGGTGAGTGACAATGGTAATGATGAACAGTATGTGAGTTCCAACTTAGGTTGCAACATCAGAACAGAATTATTATTCATATCTCTGTTCTCTTGTAAGTCAAAGAAATTTAATACATATGTTCTCTTGTAAAAAAAAACAAAAACATCTCAAGTCAAAGAAATCCCATTTCTGTAAACACCATCTCTTAATTTCTTCTTCCATTTTTTCCCCATGTCGTGTTAAGCCAAGGGTTACACCAGAGGGCGAGTTTCTCCCGCTGGACAACATAGACATGAATGTGGGCTTCGACACCGGCACTGATCGCATCTTCTTGGTCTCACCTGTCACCATTGTCCATGAAATCAACGACGAGTCACCCTTCTATGAGATGGACCGGAAGACACTGGGGAGTGACCCCGAGCTGGAGGTGGTGGTCATACTGGAGGGAATGGTGGAGGCCACGGCCATGACCACGCAGTGTCGCAGCTCCTATCTGGCTTCGGAAATCCTCTGGGGGCGCCGCTTTGAACCTGTGCTGTACGAGAGAAAAAATGGCTACCAGGTCAGTACCGGCTGGGAATCTGGCCCATGTGATTAGTCGACGAGGGTCAAGTCAGTTTTATTTTAAATGCACGAAACAAATTTTCATTAGTGGGAAATTTTCAAAGAAACCCCACAAGAAATGTAAAAAAGAAAGGGTCAATTTTATGATATGATCATAAAAAAACTCAAATTATCACATCAATAAACAAGAATCAAAAACTTTTGATTCCCCTTCAAGTTCTAGTGTTCCAGAACCTTGGCCCAGATCAACCTTCTCCTCCCTGTTGTGCCTCAAACGGGTCTAGGACCAACTTCCAGTTGCACCATATGTCAACACTATTCCTATTATATAGTAAATATACGTCATACTGAAGTCAGTTTTGTGTCTTTTTTAGGTGGACTACTCCTTCTTCAACAGGACATATGAAGTATCGAGCACACCTTCGTGCAGTGCCAAAGAGCTGGCCGAGCACAAATACATCCACGACTCGCGCTCCCTGTTCTGCTATGAAAATGAAGTGGCTCTGGAGGACGAGTCTGAGGAGCGTTCCCGGTGTCCTTTCCCATCAGTCCAGAGACCGTCACTGACCAATCATCTCCACTTCAACTGAGCTGAGAAGACAGTGAACCTCAGAGGACAGGGGAGACAGACTAACACTCAGAGAAAGACAGGGTAAGACACAGAGTAGATAGACATTTGCTGCCATTGGTTAGTACAAGAAAAAAATAAGGGTAAAGAAGTAGGGTTGAAGTACCATTTGACACCTGCAGGTGAAATAATGGCGATTATACAGATACCGTTTGGGTTGTTTGTTTTTTTGGAAATCTTTGATCATAGTCTGCAGTATGACTCTGGCCCATCTCTAACTACACCACTGAAGTGGCTACACGGCCTAACTCTCGGGCAATACAACAGCGCCCCTATGTGGCTCTTACCGAGTAGGTGCCGCAACTTTTTTTTTTTTGATCTTGCAGAAAATGTTGACCTCTGTGTTTTTACTGTAGGCAGTAAAGTGTTGTGCAATTGATATCCAGCAGTTGATCACTTTAATGTCAGTTTATCACTCGGGTGTTACTATGGAGGTAAGTATGGATTCTGCACATTTATAATATGTGATACTTTGACCTTAGTTACAGCAATTAATGACCCTGATAATATTTTAAATAGTAAATAGTTTTTATGCAACATCTGAAACCATAGAGTAGTACAGTTCATGGAAACACTAAACACTACACTTAAATTAACTGCATTATTAACATTATTTACATTTGATACAGTTTATTTTTAGCAGTTATGTTGTTTGAGTGTAATAAATTCAAAGGTTTGAGAGATTTACTTTTTTTTTAGGGAAATTCAAGCTAATGGTTTACTGCTAAAGGCTACACATACTGTACATACACTGAGTTAAACATAACATAATATTCAAATTTAGCATTTTAGCGACAGCACTAGGTGCTAGCAACTTCACATTCTAAGCACTGTGACCTGGTATTTGTCCATCTAATAATAGGATCTTTCCAGTAGGAGTTACTATTTCTGTTTCATTAAGACCAGCATCTCAGATAGTGCCTTTGATGAAGTAAGTTATATATTATTTTTTTCATTTACTGCAAAGACTGGCCAATACAGAAAAAACTTAGTGTTTAGTAGATTAGTAGTACCATCCACTAGAACAGGTGTTCCTTTAGTTGTTATCCTTCCTGAGAAAACAACTGTGAATCTGTGGTTTGGTCATTGGCTTGACCTAGATGAATTGTTTGCCCTTATTGGACATGAGTACATTTTCTTTTTTTAAATTTATATATGCCTTCAACACACTCGGACGGAGGCAGAGCAAGATAGAAAAGGTCATCCTCTAAAATTCCAAACATTCCGAGTAGGTATTTGGCAGCAGGTTTGGCAACTTAGACTGGGTTTAGAAGGAAACTCCACCAATCGTTTGAATTTTGGGCTCAGCTGATCTGACAACACAGAGGATCTATTAATAGTCACGAGGATCTAGACTATGTACCAGTCATGTATTTTTAAAAAAAAACATTTTAGTCTAAACAAAATTATATAAAATATTTTTTACTCCATAAATATATATTCATTTAGCCAAACCTAGCATAATTAAAGTACTGTGTTCAGTTGTCAAATATTTAAAAAGTAAATACAAGAAAATAGGTCTGTGACCCCATGAAAAACCAGTCTTTCCTCTGCTTTTGGTCAGTGTTGCATGTGTTGCATGTTGACATTTTTTTGTTTTGTTTGAATATATTCTACCCAACATTTACAATGTTGCAGGTTACACATACTTTGTCACCTGAGTATTTGACAAGAATGAAGGTGTGTCTGGAATGAACTGTAATATTAGGGCTTAAACCATGAGTTTGTCCGATGCACTCAACAGGAAACTGGTCTTTGTACGTTTGCACTGATGTATCATGGAGGGTGGGGGAAAAAACTTGAAACTGTGCCACGGGTGTTACCTCTAAGGTATCAGTCATAGTGTTGCATTAAACATAAATATATGGTCACCGTGACACGTAATGTTTTATAAAGAATTGTCAACACTGTGAAGTGTTCTGCCCAGACCTCTGACCTTGGCCTCACTTCCAATGTATTATAAAATGACCTTACACTGCAATATTAAATATAAAAAGCACTTTAGCACAGTGGATGATACATTTTGTTTTCACTCTGTGGGTATTTCTTATATTTGATATAATACAAACATAACATATAGTAATAGCTGTAGTAAACAGTCACATTAAATGAAAAATAATATGAAAATATTAGAAGCAGCAGCTAGAGTCTAGAATAGTCTAGAATAGATGTCTGCTGCAGCTTTTGCTGAGTCATAAAACCTGCTGACAGTAGCCTTCCAACAAACACCACAAATCTTTAAACTTTACAACAACATTCTAACAATTCTATAACAGTGGATTATATTTTCCTTTTAAGGATTTATGGTGTTTGTTGTTTAAAAAAAACAAACATTTCGACATAGAAACGAAGGATTTTATACCATGTCTTTAAGACGGGATAGAGCTATTACTAGCTATTTTAAAATACGAAATTTTTCCGGGGACAGTATGATACTGTAATTAATGTAACGTTAAAATTACATTCGATCTTTTTTGCCATTCGATCCTTGTTTTAATTATGTCACTAATCTAAAACCATCCTCAGATTAAAAAAACAGTTTCGATCTCAGATTACTTCCAGTACACGGTCTGTGGTACGGTTTGTACTGCAGGTACTGTTTAGTCCGTTGTCTAAACAGGTAGTCTATTGGACCTATGGTATGGACGGTGTCTTACACAGTCTTAAACAAAGGGCGCGCCAGTGTCCCTTCTTCAGCGCGAGAACAGCGCAGCCATCAGCTGCTGCGCTCTGATTGGCTATCGCACACCTCGCGTCCCGCCCTTTGAGTGTTATCATTGGCTCAAGTGGAGATCGTTGCGCTGCACTTGACGCCGGTCTGTTGTGGCCTTCGCTTTGTGCCACTCTAGGGGCGGAACACTTCTGTCAGGCCCAGGGGCGGCTCTGGTGGCGAGTCGCAGACGTTGATTGGAGTCCCCTTCCTGAGGAGGCCGGACTTGGAGCGGGCTCTGAGAGCTGATTGGTCCGTCGACAGGAAGCTCCTCTCCCTGGCTGAAGCCGTCGCCTTGCCCTCACTGCTCGCTGCCGGTTTTATTTCCAGTGTGTGCGGCTTCGGTGGGAGAGCGGTGCAATGATAAAAAACCGCATATGCTGTAGGCTACCCTTTACACCGACCACACAGGAGAATATCCACAGAAACAGCCTCGTCCCGGTTCTCTTTACACCACAGCCTTTCACACGACTCTAAACAAAGCCTCAAGGTAAGACGTCCAATTGGACCTTAAAATATTTAAAGTCGCTAATAGCCGGTTTTCGTATCATATTTCAGTGGCTAACCTCAATTGGCCAGTCCACGAGCGGCGGTGTGGGCTATAAACATCTTCGATGTAACATCAATGAAAACGGACGTCTTAATTCTTTTTAATATCATATATAAAATGTATATACAAAATGACTTAGAGATCCGAACGAGAGAAAAAACAAAAAAACGCCAAGTCCATGGTCCAATTACGAGCCTTTCGACGCATACATTATATGTGATATTCGAACGGTAATTACCGAGTAACGTGTTATTAAGGACATGTCTGTCTGAATAGGAGTAACGTCTAGTAAAAATTAAAAAAAAATGAATTTTTGTGGCCGCCTCACGCGAGCGGCTGGCAGTCATTTAAAGGCTGGAGTCCATGTGATTGTTGGTGTGTTGTGTTGAAGGTGTGGTTGAGCTAAAAGCAGGTGATTTGTACAGAGCAGAGGCCTCAGCTGCACTGCTGCTGCTGCTGCTGCCGCTGCTGCTGCCAATACCTCTGATAGTCACCCGCTGCACATTTATGTCACCCTCCTGAGTGATTGTCCGCTGCAGGTGCCACAGTACTATCATCATCATCATCACCATCATCATCATCATCATCAAAATTAGAATAAAAGCCCTTTAAAGATCCACGCACTGTCATGCAATGACACGCCCACGCGTTATTAATTAAAACCCTATTTAATTGCCCCCCCCCACACACACACACAGACGGGTGAGAACCCCCCGCAGTGAATGACCTCACTGCAAACCTTGGAGGTTTTTGTCTGTGTTCATTGTGTTGCTATGGAGGAGCAGAGCAGTCGGGATTTGGCAAAGTCCAGCTGCTGCAGGAGTTCACTGGTCTGTCCTGTCTGTACTGCGGCAACCCCAGTGTGTGTGTGTGTTTATATATGTATTATATAAATATATATCTACATATGTATTTGTGTTATTATTGATAGAGGCTTTTGATATGGACACCTACACAGAACTCATTGATAATCATTATCAATAGGTTGTGGGTGCGGTTGTGGAGTATTTTGTATTTGTGTACTTGCTGATAGTGAGCAGTGTCGCTGCTACTTTAGTTTGGGTTCCTATAGGGGGTGCCATAACTGGGAGGTGGTGTTGTAAAAGTGGCACGGCACTGTGGGTAATAATAGGTTGTTTCCTGAACTTTTTGAACAGTAAACACAGGCAGCTGAACAGAAAGTGAGCAGAGCTTTTACCAACCACAGCCACATACAGTATGTGATTCCTAGTATTTGTGAGCTGTGAAAATTATTGGCACATACATGTGTTTAAAGGGGTGATGACGTCAGTATGACGTATTTTAACAGCATCATCCAGCAGATATAGATAGAACAGAGTTAATCTCTAGGGATTTCCCTTTGGGGAATTAAGGAAATAGCAAGGGTTTTTAGACTTTAGAAAAAGTTGTGTTGACTCATTCTCAAAATTGCAGCCAATGATGACATGGCAATAATGGAAAATATCTAGAAGGAAATCACGGAAGATTAGATTAGATACTTAGGGATGGCATATTTTCCATACTTCCTTACTGACTGGATGGGTGGTGGCAACTTCTTTTGTTTGCCTGTTGACTCCACACCCAAGGTTGTGTTGGAGTAACAGGTATGGTAAGGGCAGGGTTGGGGACTGGGCCTTGTCATGAACAGACAAAGAGGAAAAACGCTGAGACTAAGATGCATAGCAGGAATCAGGACCGATGACATACCTGCTGAGGCATGGAGACGCCTCACACCTAACACCTACGCCAGGACAGTAACTGTCTGATGAAACGTAATGCTCCGGTGCTTAAGCTTCAAACAAATCTATGCTGCTCCCAGACTCAACAGTCCTCCAAAAACAACCACCGGCTCATTATCTACTATCTTGACCTACTGCTGTTGATGTTTGTAAGCAACATCTGAGACGGTCCCTTGCTAAAGGACATCAGCCTCGTCATCCTCTCTGCCCTAAGGGGAACTTTTGATCATCACATGTTCGTATTCCGACCATCGAGTTAACCTCTTTTCACGCTAGTTTTTACAAGCTAATCTCCGAATGCTCCGTTACACGGCTGCAGTCAGACTCTGATTGCCCGAGGATTGCTACATGTTGTAGAGCGTTAGTCACATCTATCCGCAGTCCTTTTTCTGACTCACATGATTGTACGATTGCCTGAGGCAGTTCAGCTTTTTTTTCTTTCTTTTTTTTTTGCTGATCTGAGTCCACTCGTCCTGAGTAGAGAGCCTTCAACTGCTAGCTGGAAATCTCAGCACGGTAACACAAAATTCTCGGTCAGTTTTAATACTAGGGCTGTTGAATGATTCAGCTTTTTAATCTGATTAACGACAGACAGAGTAGCTCTGGATTAATCACGATGAATCACAGCTAATTCATGCTGACAATAACAGCAGGTGGATGTATGTGTTTCACGCTGGATTTTTTATTTGTAATTCATTTAAATGATGGAATTTTTAATATGGAGAAAAATGCAACAGTTTACCTCAAACATGTAGCATCACAGTGTTGGTGGATTTCAGTCGTTGCTGCGCATCCTGACGTTGGTCTGTGGAACACGTCAGAGGTTGTTTTCAGAGCTTGTGAAGTGAAGCTGTTGTCCTCAGTGATATTAATTGGTCGACAGTCCCTTGAAATCCATTGGTTTGACTTAAACTGGGTGTCTGACCTGAGGTTGAATCCTCCACATGTGCACGCTGGGTGTTGAGGCCGGTTATTATCATGTCAACAGTCCTAACTATTATACAGTGGTGAATATCCAAAAACGAACCCAGTATTTCAGAGGATCAGGACTGCAGTTACGGTTATTAGCAGCATAATGTAAATCATTATAAAAAGGGCGACACAGCCGGTTGTTTTCAGTGTTTACAACAGAGGCAGATTATCTGCCAACCTCTTATCTAATTCCTCACCTCCTGTAACCTCCTTCACTATGTCCTTCATCCTTCCCTGGTGTCTCCTGCCTGGCAGCACAATCTCCAACTTCCTTCCTCCAGTTCATCCACCTCTCCCGTGGTCGTACTATCTCAGCCCTGCCTCTGTGAATCACCCAATCCTAACACTTCGTCCAGTATGCCGATCTCTATTCCTGTCAATCCTGGTCTGACCCAGTGAACACCTCAGCCTTTTACTGCCTCCGTCTCGTAAATGAAAGCAGCTCCTGTAACTCTTACCAATCCCTCTGTTCACCCTCGGCCTCATGTCTCTCTTCACTCCCACCTTCACCTTCTTTTATAACATATTTTATGGTATGGTTTTATTCAGAGAAGATTTCTGTAGTGTTCGTATTTGATTCCACAAGAATAAAATCTGTGGTGAAATGGTCAAAAAAAGACAAAAGTCAAAAACGTGTTATTTTTGGATGTTCTTAAGGAAACACTGACAATTGGATGCATTTGGAATTCAACATGTTTTTTTTTTTCTTCAAATGTGACTATTGATTTGATGATTTAAAAAAATAAATATTAAATTTCATAATTATTATAATCTTGATAGTGGCAACAGGAATTTTTTTTTATATCGGAGAGACTTTTTTTTTTGTTTTTGTTTCCTCACTTCTCTTCCAGTCTCATCCTTCCTGCTCATCCACCCTTGCACTCCTTGTCATGTCAGTTAACTCAGACACTCAGATGTATCTTGGTCTTCCCCCACCTCTGTACCTCTCCTCCCTTCATCCTCCCCTGTCTTCCCTTTGATTTGACGTGTCTTTCCCTGACTCCATCCTCAGTCCTGCTCTGTGTTGATAATG